TCAATGACCGGGTCCAAGTCTACAAACCGACTCGACTTGATAGCACGAAGGTGTCATGGTCTAAACCCTTATCACCTACGTCCTTGGCTATGCGGACAAATACAACCTTCACGCCAAGCCCATACGTTCAATGGGTAATGCAAACTTTTTGAAAAAAAAATTGGCTAAATTCCCGAAGCAAGGTTCCTACAAAACCGGACGAGTCTCGGAAGGTCAACATTTCACAAAGCACTGCAATTAAAGACGCTTTGTTTCAGGAGCGAACTTACGCGACCCCTCGGTTCCAATATCGCTAGCATGAATCAACAACTTAACATCCAAGCAGGAGCGTAAGTTTTGGCTGCAAATGTCCGCAAACAAACTTAAGACAAAACCCTCACGACACCGCGCAACATCTTCGAGCCCGAGAACGTTTCAAACATGAAACGCGGCACATAAAATAAAAACCAACTTTCGGCACTACGAGACGTCGCAGACGCCTGAAGAATAGTTTTTCGACACAAATACCTTCCTGGATAAAGTCATTTTCTTGGAAGACCTAACAGTCCTTCGTCCGCGACAATAAAATACGCAAAACTTCTTAACGTACATATCCTTCGCGAAGGCCACAAAAACGTAAACATCTATCGCCTAAAAAGTTCGTTGCTGATCACAACAAACTCGCAACAGTCCTAAACAAACTTAAGTTATCTCGCAGAGATAGCTCTCGTACACCCGACACAAGGGTAATAGCGCTATAAAAGAAATCCAAACATTTGGTCAGCACTTTCGGGCAACTTAGAAATTGTTCCCGATGAGATGCTCGGTTCCAACTAGACGAATCGTATAAGCCGAGAACATATCGCGGATTCTAAATCGGTATGGAATCAGGTTAAAATCGCAACAGGCAAAATGAAAGCCGACTAGTCATCGCATAGCCTCAATCCGAAAGTAAACCTAGGTCTTGCCCTAAACCCAACACACTGGTCTATAACGTCTCAAGGCATGAATCGAGATCCTTAAGGCATGTCTCTTCGTCTATATCTAAACCCTCACTCGATTTACTAAACATCCTAAAACGAGCAAACAAATAAGGCGATCCACAAAGGAAAAGGAATGCGAGACGACAACTCGCGGACCTCCCTCAATATCAACTCATATTCTTCCCGCTACATTCATACGAATCAAAATACGCTCTTAAAAAACGCAAACTGATGTCATCGACATCAATATGCTCGATAATTTCTACACAACACATAACTAGACTGTAAAGGTCTCACTGCAAAACAGGTCATACAAACCATGACTCCAAAACGAACTACGAAAGGCTTGATCCCTCCGATAGGGTACGTAGGCAGTCTTCACAAGGCGCAGCCCTAATCTTAAACGCTTTCCACTTTTTGGAGAATGGAAAGATCACTCTCAACGGACCTTTCCAACCATTAATTCCGCCTAACTTAACTAAAACTGGCTAACCACTCGCCAGAAACTTACGCTAGAAGCTCAAGATTCTAGCGAGCTGGGGGGCTAACTGTTGGTGTCAAAATCGGTCACAACAGAATCAATGGCCAAAACTCTCCGCAAAAGGATAAAAAAGTCATTTTATAAAACTCGAAGAATCGTTTCATAAAACTCGAGAAATCGTTTTATAAAACTCGAGAAATCGTTTTATAAAACTCGAGAAATCGTTTTATAAAACTAGAGAAATCGTTTTATCAAACTCGAAGATTCGTTTTATAAATCTAAAAGAGATTTCTGAACATAGGAAATCCGCGAAAAACTCGGAAGATCGTTATCTCAAAAAAATGAAACAAACGTCGATTACACGATCGTCCGAGATAAGCACAAAACCGCCGTAAAACGTGAACTAGTCTCTTTCCGACTAGTTCGCCCAACGGCGAACTAAGCTAGCCGGCTTAGTTCGCCGTTTGGCGAACTAGAGGCTTCCCATACAATTCGCCTACCGACCATCCCGAGCCTCGATCTCCCACATCCCCAATTCAATGCTTATGTCCTTCGACACAGTCGTGTTCGGAACCACGGTCGAAATGTCTCCCGTTTCGTCTTGATCCGACTTATCATTCGAGTTTTACGATAAAAACCGTAAAACTTTGTTTTCCCGAAAAGAACTCGAGGAAATCTTATAAAACGGCAACGGTTAAAAGAGACACCGAACATTGCCTAAACTATACGATTTATTCGAGATTTTTTGTTAAAATCATAAAAACGCATTTCTAAAAAAAACATCTAGTAAATCGTAAAAAACGGGAACGATTAACCGAGAAACGAACGTAGCTAATCTTTACGATTAAATCGGGGAATTTACTAAAAACGGCATCGGATCAGGAAACGATCTCGTACAAGGTCGATAAACGGATTTATCGCAAGACGGCCCGGAAGGTCGTAAAACGCGATAAAAGCCCATCTCGCGATCTTAACGAAATCTTATTCGAAGATACGATAACGTTTTGACGATTTACTCTCAGAAGGAAGATAAATGTCAAGTTTGAAGATAAATGGCATGTTTGAAGATAAATAGAAGATTTACGCGGGGAAAAAGGAAGGATCGAGATATAAGGAAGATTCCCGATCAACTTGAATCTGGACGAAATGGAAAGATTAAACCGCCAAAGAGAGGAGTATATAAGCAAGAGGCATAGGGCAGAAGCAGGGACACGATTTTCAGAGCTTTCACCACCAAATTTAGCATTTAGGAATATTTTCGTTTTCAGTTAGCGAGCTGCGTCACAACTAGGCCATGCAGCTAAGGCCACTCTCGTTGTTGCAGTTCTTACATCGATTCGGAATAAAAACCTTCTTGCTCTCGATTTCATTCATTCGTACTGTAATTTTAAGTTCATCGTTTTTCTTAATTCTCGTTGTGTGGTTCTGCAGATAGCCGAGTCCTCTGGAAACTTAGGGTTTACTCAAAGTTTCTTTATTTACGAGTCATTGACAGTAGGTGAATTTCGGTTCCCACATGGTGTGGACAATCTCGCTGGTAGGATTTGAATCTGTTCCATGTATCTTTAAATGATTCTCCAGGATCCTGAGTGAATGTAGCAATTTTCCTCCTCAATTCTTCAGCGCGTGAGTGATCAAAGAAGTTACGCAGGAATGCGTTTTTGATGTCACTCCAGGTTGTGAGAGAACCTGGTGGTAGTTGCCTCAGCCACTGGAAAGCTTCTCCAGATAGAGAGTATTTAAAAAGCTTACAGAGAAGATAGTCTTGAGGGACTCCATTGGCTTTTATGACAGTTATGACATCCTCGAACCTCTCCAGATGGTCCATAGGATGCTCATGGGAAAACCCACAGAAGGGTGTATGTCCTACAAGATAGAGATTATTTAAAAAGCTTACAGAGAAGATAGTCTTGAGGGACTCCATTGGCTTTTATGACAGTTATGAGATCCTCGAACCTCTCCAGATCGTCCATAGGATGCTCATGGGAAAACCCACAGAAGGGTATATGTCCTACAAGTGTGTAGTACTACGGATTGAGCTCGAAATCTCCTCTCTGAATAGCAGGAGGGCGGATGGCTGATCGGTTGGTATATTACTGATCCGGACAGTTGTAGTCAGCCAAAGTTCTAGCTTTGTTAGCCTCTTCTACTGGTTGAATGAGGTCTGTAGGTGCAGTTTCTTGCTCATGAATGATTTCCTTCTGAGCATGCAGCTTCTAACCTACTGCATTACGCAGATGACCATCTTGATCACGCAGATCTCCATTCTCATCAGTAGTGAGAATAATAGTCACTACCATGTCTCGCCGGTAAGGATCGATCGATTTAAGATAAGGTATATCGATCGATGTCGGATGAAAGATTTCGGTCGACGAACGGTTGTTGATGTCGATCGATGGAAAGGTGCGAGTATCAGTCAACGAAGAAGGTGTCTCGGTCGACTGTGGTAAGCGAGTGTCGGTCGACGAACAGTTGTTGATGTCGATCGATGCAGAACGTAAGTCTCTGCAGATGCTACGTTCCAAACTGTGGGGTTCTTATGAGTACACAAGTTGGGTGTTCTTGGTGCTTCTAGTACTGCAGGGCATGTACCTGAAAAAGACAAGAAAAAAATTTGTGTCGGAAGATGATTAAGCAGTAACAAGTAACCTAGAACTAATCAGATTAAATCTAATGGCGATAAAAGTTCCCAGGAAACGGCGCCAAATTTGATATCACTCAAATTACCCTAAGGAGTGAATTACTCTATCAAATAAGAGGTTCAGTTATAGTACTTAGGAATCGAATCCACAAGGAACTAAGGAACATAAAAGATATAATCCATAGTGATTATGCTAAGTTAATTAAGTTTAAAAGTAAATTGCAGTTGTGAGCAATGGTAAGTAGCTCAAGAAAATTGGTTTAGGTTTTAAACAATAAGAGAAAGTAGTTAGATTCAAGGTTGATATTCAGATAATCAGGATTATAATGCTACAGATGTCTTAATAAGTTGCTTGCAAGATATTAAAGAACTTCAACTCTCAGATAACTCTATTAGCAATCGCTATCTAGACTCGTCCATTGATCTAACTGCTGGCAAGATCAATCGATGTTTTGACAGGGATATCAGAAGATATAGATTGCCGTCGATCGATTACTCTATAGGAGTATCGATCAATATAGCTTCAGATCGAATTGAATATGTGTTCACCAAGATCATAGGCCGGGTCTCGTTCGTCCCTAGAGGATCTCAGCTTATGCCAAATGATTTTAGGATAATGATTAACAAGTTAAATCATTCTAGGATCATACTCTAGTTAGCTACTCTAGAGTAAGCATTAGGGTTCATCAGGATAATGAATAGCACAACTCAACAATCTATAGTTGGGGCTAATCCCTCATAGCTATTTGAACCCCAAATCTAACAACTGAATCTACTCAGACATGGCTAAGTGATTCATAGCATCAAGGTAATAATAGAAATTCATACGGTTAGAAGATTGAACACTTGGTTCCTTTGAACAACAAATCTCTTTGTATATTCTTCTAAATCTAGAACTCTATAACCTTTGGTGAAAATGAGAATAAGATTAAAAGAATACTTTTATTAATGAAAGCACTAAGAGTATTAAAAATCACACTAAGAATCAAAAGCATACCCTGCCAAAACACATAGGCATAACTATAAATATGAGTTCAATTAGGTTAAAACTTGTCAGGGGCAATCTTGTAATATTGAGAGAACTTGGGATTCAAGTCGGCTGAGTCAAACTTATTCTTCACGCTCGATATCGATCGATGGTACATCGATCGATGGAGGATCTCGATTCGTCATCTTCTACGGAAGCGTTGTCGATCGATTACACAGGATGTGTATCGATCGATATGTATCTCTGGATATTGACCTTCTTGTCTGATCTTCATAGTTATCTCGGGAAAACTCTCCTTTAAGCTCCATAAGGGCACCTAAATCATCACTTTACTCCAAAATGCTCCCGAACCTGAAAACATACCTAATAGACTCCAAAACATATATATGTGAAATCATCTCAATACCATGATTAAAAGTGGGTTAAAACCATGGTAGGTCAAAATCCCATACTTTTTCTCTATGAGTAATTAATTACCTTGGTTTTCGTGGAAGAGAAGAGCTTGGTTTTTCAATTTTTTTTCCTCTCTTTCCAGCAAGAGAAGGTTCTGAAGCTTTTTCTCCTTGAATCGCATCGCCAAGCATTGTTCTGATCATAAGAAGAAGTTAAATCCATCTGCAAATACGAAAACAATCAAAATCAGTTATTTATAAACACTGCACAACTTGAGTCTTTGAGTCTGTGCATATAAGACATACATATGAGAGAGAAGAAATATAAAAAATTTTAGACGCGGCGTTTAATATAAAACAGATAAGGATGATTCGGGTCATGAAAGACCACTAATTTAGCTATTACCAGCTAATGAAAAAAGTCGATTTAACGAAATACCTCACACTGGATTTATAAGGCTGTTATATGACTTATCTAATAAAAAGACACAAGGTACGCAGAGAAGTTAATCTTAACCAAGAACCAAACATTAAACCAACATTTTCAATTTCAAGCAAAGCTTTGAACTTTCTAAAAAGAAACTGAATTTTCTGTAAAATATGAACAAACCTAAAGCTAATAGTTAACATACCTAGGAATCAGACAAATTATGTCTTCAAATCAGCATAAAAGACAGCGGAGGTAACTATTATCAGAAATTCAAATCGGACTCACATTTGAATCAAGAAATAGCATATCGACAGACAGGAGCTCATGACCGTAGCAACCTAACCTCAACAATGGAAGAACATCTACAAACTTAAAATTGGTAACGAAAATTGAAAGCTAGCCATTAGGGTGTAAATAAGGTGATTTCGTTGTTTAAATAGATAGATAGGATGATTGTACAAGTAGGGATGATAACCTTTTTACTTGAAGTTCCACCGCTTTTCAAGAGCGAACGGCCGAAGTTAAGATAGATCGTGGATGATGGATTGAAGAACATCTTTATTAGGATGAATCTGTAATTGATTGATTCATGGGAAGTTAGGAAGAAGATGATACATCTTGATCGAAAACCCTAGAGTCTCCTCCGATACCGCAGCCGCGCAGAACAAGAAGAGATGAAACAAAAGAAACAAAAACAACGCATTTTGATTAGGTAGGCTTACACCCTAAATATGGGCTTTATGAAATAAATTAATGCCCATGAACAAAATTGTAAGTCCAAACAGAATTGGCACAAGATAAATGAAACGCATCGTCTAGTTTAAATGGACACGTGTCGCGCTCTCATTGGTTCGACTTTCTGAACTGTCCTATATGGACTTGTCTAGTTGGCAGACGACGTGGCATGCTTGAAAGCGAGAGACATAGAATTATATAATAGATTTCAACAATATATCACTATTGCAATACTATTTTTTTGTGGGAACCGAAATTCACACTGTTGATTTCTGTTTAAATTAGGAAACTTAGAAAAACCCTAATTTTCCAGAGTTTCCGGATCTCTACGAGAACCAACGACAAGTAAGCGAAAAGATGCAGAAGATATGAAAGGATAATAAAACGGCTTTATCGAAAAACATTTCATCGTTATTTTGAATTTGCGTATGAGCGTTCCAGGGACAAAAGCATACACGAAGCATGTCCGAAAGCAGGGTTACAAAGAAAATCACATGACACTGATAGTAAATCCTTACTAGGTTTGGAAGGATAACCATCCATGTCGAGAAAAACCTATGTGAGCCACAGCTCGCTTAGCAATAGACGAAAAAGACGAAAAAGGTCTAAAGGATTTGAGACTGGACCTTATGAAAGGCTGCCGACATACCCCTTTCGAGGATCAAGTAAAACGTAGTTCAGTTAGAAGGATTTGAACAAGAGATCGATGGGCGAGTTCGTCTAGTATTTGTGTGCCAGACATAGAAACCGAGCTAGTTGAGAATAAATATTAGGGTTTCTAAGTGCAGAGAGGTCTGAGTCTCCAAGTTGTTTTTTGCCTCTTGCCTAGGACTCCTCATATACTCCCTCCTAGTCCGGTTTATATTTTTCCCCTTCTGCCCTTAAGCCGTCATAGCTCAAAAATGGAGATATTCCATTTTCCAGATCTTCATAATTATCTTCGGAACTTGACATTTAATCGAGGAAAGTTGACATTTATCAAATCTTGTCAACCAAGTCCAAACCGCCATAGTTTTTATGGGCACTTGGTTAAGAAATTGTAAGTGGGCTTTTAGTCGCATTTTAGGCCTCTTTGCGCTGTTATTTGACTTTAAATGTTTATGACGGTTTCTTCAATAAGAACAAACTTTCCGCGGTTTTAATCGTAACATTTGAATGATGACTCCGATCGATAAGGAACAAGGAGCAGTTAAGCTATGGCCTACGGGATATAGTATTAAAGAGTAGATGAGAATGCATGGATTTGTGTTGTATTGATGTTTGGGAAAATCCGGTCGCTATGTAGCAACCCGGACTGCGCATGAGTCGGTCACTACGTAGGGACTGTTGGTGTCAAAAACCGTAATCTCGAAATCAACGTCTGCGATAACTTCTGGAATCATTACTTTCCGCAAAAATCACTTATTAAAACTCGAGAATCATTTTATAAAACTCGACGATCTTTTTGTAAACTCGAAGAACCGTTTCATAAAACTCGAGAATCGTTTTATAAAACTCGACGATCGTTTTATAAAAACTCGAAGAACAGTTTTATAAAACTCGAGAATCGTTTTACAAAACCGCAAAAAAAAACCCGAAACCGCCGCAAAACGCGAACTAGTCACGACTAGTTCGCCAGCAGGCAACCGCCCTAGCATCCAGCTCGGATCCTGGTATGAGCAGGGTAATTCCCATTGAATTCATTGAACACCCTAGCATCGGACCACCCATAGTCGTAAATCTGATCAATGAACCAGAGGACGATATGGAGGAGAGCCACCCAGCCGAAGATCAGTCCGATTACGGATTCAGTCGTCCATGGATGGAAACGATTCTCGCATACATAACCAACGGAGAACTTCCACCGGAAAAATGGGCGGCCCGAAAGATAAAAATTCAGGCCGCGCGGTATGTCGTAATGGACGGAGAACTTTACAAATGGAGGTTCTCCGGACCACTGATGACTTGCGTGTAAGGGGAGAAAGCACGGCGGGTTATGCAGGAAGTGCACTCCGGATCTTGCGGAAACCATTCTGGCGGAAAATCCCTCGCAATAAAAATCAAGCGCCACGGATATTTCTGGCCAACGATGGTAAAAGATTGCGAAGATTTTTCGCGAAAATGCGAGAAATGCCACCGGCATGCTCCGACTATTCACCAACCTGCCGAGGTCCTTTCATCTATCTCGGCACCGTACCCGTTCATGCTGTGGTCAATGGATATAGTCGGGCCAATGCACGCGTCAAAACAAAAACGCTTTCTTCTGGTTCTGACCGATTTCTTCTCTAAATGGGTCGAAGCCGACTCTTACGCAAGCATCAAAGACGCCCAGGTAGAAAGTTTTGTATGGAGGAACATAGTCTGTAGACATGGAGTACCATACGAAATCGTGACGGATAATGGATCCCAATTTATCTCGACTAGATTCGAAGCTTTTTGCGAAAAATGGAAAATACGATTAACCAAATCGACTCCAAGATATCCTCAAGGCAACGGACAAGCTGAGACTATTAATAAAACTATCCTCGACGGCCTCAAGAAACGCCTCGACGCCAAAAGGGAAAGTGGGCCAAAGAACTCGAAGGAGTTTTACGGTCGCACCGCACAACCCCGAGGCGAGCAACGGGCGAAACTCCTTTTGCTCTCGTATACGGAACGGAATGCATGATTCCCGCGGAAGTCGAATTCCCAGGAGTACGCAGAAGACTGCTCCCAGAAAGAGAAGAGGCAAACATCTTAATGCTTCTCGACGAACTCGACCTGATTAACGAACGGCGGGATCAGGCACTCGTTCGAATTCAAAATTATCAGCAAGCGGCCACAAAGTACTATAACGCAAACGTGCGTAACCGCAGATTTCACGAAGGCGAGCTAGTCTTACAAAAGTCTTCCAGAACACCGCAGAACGAAACGCCAGTAAGCTGGGAGCGAACTGGGAAGGACCGTACAAGGTCATAAAAGTAGTCCGACCCGGAGCATACGAAATTGCAAACATGCAGGGCATCAAAATTCCCAGATCCTGGAACGCGATGCACCTCAAAAAATATTACCACTAGGCGGCACGCCCGCAGAACACTGAACTACGAGACGGCTTGATCCCCTTTAAAGGGTACGTAGGCATCTTGTCGCAAGACAAGACCAGCTGTCCCCCCTCGTTCAAAAGGGGGGGGAGTAGGTGAGTATACGTATACTCGTATACTCCTGAAATTTCAAACTCGAAATTTCTCATACTTTTTCAGCAAACGCATCGAAAGAAAAAACGAAATTCTGAATATAGCGAGACAACGCCAATGTTCGGAAAAACGTTCCTCTTCAAAAACAATAAACAGTTCGTCCGCGACTATAAAATACACAAAACTTCTTAACATATGTATCATTCATGAAGGTCCAAACTACGTAAACATTTATCGCTAAAAATTAGTTTGTTGCTGATCACAACGAACTCGCAACAGTCTTAAACAAACTTAAGCTATCTCGCAGAGATAGCTCTCGAACACCCGACACAAGGGTAATAGCGCTATAAAAGAAATCCAAATTTTTGGTCAGCACTTCCGGGAAACTTAGAAATTGTTCCCGGTGAGATGCTCGGTTCCAACCAGACGAATCATATAAGCCGAGAACCTATTGCGGATTCTAAATCCATATGGAATCAGGTTAAAGTCGCAACAGGCAAAACGAAATCCGACTAGTTATCGCACAGCCTTAATCCGAAAGTAAACCTAGGTCTTGCCCTAAACCCAGCACAGTGGTCGCTAACGTCTCAAGGCATGAATCGAGATCCTAAAGGCATGTCCCTTTGTTTATATCTAAACGCTCACTCGATTTACTGAACATCCTAAAACGAGCAAACGAATAAGGCGATCCACTAAGGGAACGGAATGCGAGACGACAACTCGCGGACCTCCCACAATATCAACTCGAAACAGAAGGTTCAAATAAAAACCGATTATCCATTACGAAAGTAAAAAGTTGCCGAAGCAACAAGGGATTCAAAGCCATAAAAGGTCAGTCCCGAACAAGTACAAAAGCTGCACACGGCCGAATACATAAAAACCTATTTTTAAAAAAGAAAAGTCTCGTAAGAGACTACAACTTCAAACATTCTCCGCACATGGAGCCTCATCCTCATCCATCGCATTACCTTCACCCTCGACAACAACGTCCGGGTCGTCACCCCTGTCCGCATAAGGCTGGGGTACGTCTTCGGCAGCAAGAGTCGGATCGGAATCACTTCCCTCGATAGGAATAGATCTTTCAGTCACACAGACAGCTGATTCCTCGAAACTCTTCATCTTGCGCTGAAGTATGCGCAGCTCTGAAGCCTTGGATTTCTTTTCATCCTTTGCCTTGATCAGAGAGACCGCGGTCTTTCCAAGATCACGCTCCAGATCGCTAATCCGAGCTTCGAGTCGAGACACTTCCGCGGAACGCACATCTTCTATCACCTTCAATTTCCCCTCGAGCTGAGCCGACCTCTCCTGCGACTCGGCTAACTCCTTGACTAAACGCTCAACTTCGGACCCACACTCTTTGATCACCCCATCCATCAACGAAACTAACTTGAAAAACCAAGAAAGATGGTCAGCTACGAATATGTTCTTTAAAACGTATGTTTGCGAACCTGTACATTGGTACGTTGCTGCGACATCGACATCAAGCTCGGTGCCTTGCTAGACGAAGCTCCGGTCTCGGAACCCTTCACGGCTCTCTTTCTCGTGGGAGCATCAGGTTTCGGACGAGTTCTCTTGCGGCCTTTCGCTGAAGCAGGCAGCGTCGCGCTAAGTGCCGAAAGTCCCAGGACAATCACCCTCTTGGCCAGAGCGGGAGGCCCCAGAATCGTGACTGGATCAACCGAAGTAGGAGCTGCAGCCGGTTCAATTGCGGCAGGAGTCGTAACTGATTCAACGGCGGTAAGAGTCGCAACCGGTTCGACCACGGTTGGAGAT